AGCTTGTATTTTCGCGTTCCCAGTATTATAACTTATCAACAGGATACGTTTGTTCAGTCTATCCTGAATGAAACATAACTTCTATGATGTCACCAAGGTTCAACAATCATAAATTAAATTCAACGCTTACTCTGTCGGAAAGTATCGATATCGAAAAACCGGGTGACCGACCCCGATCTTTATGAATAAAATGATATTTTCCGTTAATTATCGCAATGGCAGTTATTACATTGGATTTTTGGGTTTTTTCAATAAATCTTTGTTATACAATAAAAAAAGGATGAAGGCAATATGGGTCCCTGGAGAACACTAGCATTGATGGTAAAAGTATTCGAGAGATATCCATTGACGGCCACTTGCAGTTGACGTCTTCAGGAGATGAAGTTGAATGAAGTTTTCTTTATTGCAGTTGAGCTGAATCACTTGATCTGAAATATCAACAAATAATTTTTGGATCTTGAAATATTGAATCTTAGGTGAAATACCTTGTCAATAACGACCCACGTTATTGCATCTATACTCGTGCACGATAAATATCTTTAGAATCCGTTCGTCGAGATATGGAGTAGTGATATTATAAAATGAAAGATGATCTTCAAGACGCTATAGGCTGTTTTGCGATCAATAAAACCTCTCAAGATTAATGTCTTACGAATAAGAGCTACTGGACAAAGGATACTTAGCATTTTTACCTTCGGTGCTTTTTTTTCTAGGATTTTTATTGGCCATTGATTACTTTCGATGTGTAGGTACTCACTCTCTCTCTCTCTCGTCCTCTCTCTCTTCTTTTCCCTATCACTTCCTTTCTCCACCCTGCAAAATGTGTATGTCTGGTTATTGCTGTGGAGAGTCGAAAATACCCAATCACTATTGACCTAACCTAACCTTTATAGGATTAGAATAACTATTTCGTTTGCTGGCTACAATAAAAGCTGAACCTGTCATTGGCATCGCTTTAGGCTTTGCCAAACAATGATTAGACACCTGGATGACAAGAAGATTTATGGACTTCTGGCAGAATATTTCAGGATTGGCTCACTCCAAGGCGTTTATTCACCCTTGATACCAAACCGTTGTTGGACTACAGTAGGTATGAAATACGATGTCTAACAGGCCTACTCACAGGTCACTGTCATTTGAATAATTATATACAGAGACTCGGACTGTCGGAAGACAGTGTGTGTGACAGCAGAGCACATACTTTGTGCCTGCCCCGCTGGGGACCAAATCAGGTTTTTCAGAGTTCGGCAGAGCCGTACTCTAACCATCTGATCTGAAAGACCACTCACCATACAAACTAATCGGCTTAGTTAAGAAGCTGAGTTCATTCAGTCGAGTGTGAATAGGTGTGAGCCACAATAAACCCTTGCGGGTTGCGGTGGAGGGTCGAATAGACCCTCTCACTCTGGACCTGACCTTACGTAACCTAACAATACAAGCTTGCTTAGGTAGCCGTAACTTTCATTCTTTCTCCTAAAATTGTGTAATATTTAATGCCTCCCATGAGTATGGACTGAAGAGAAAACATCCTCATATAGATCATTTATCCAAGAAGAACCGCAGGGTTCGATTTTGGGTCCCATTATATTCATAATACGACCCCCACCATTGAGATCTCTTAAACTACAAGAGATACGCCGAAGCTTGAATTGAGGCAAAGTTGCGTTTTTTTGTGCTTAACAAAATACTGTTTTTAAAGTTGAAAAATTCCGAGTATTTCTGAAAATGTGCGAAAAAAACTGAAAATCGGAATTTTCGTTTTTATTTTTTTTCCGGCGTTATTTGACAACATAGCTCAAAACCAAAAACACATTACATTACTATTCGACGTTCCGTCTTCTGGCAATCATCATCAACGTTCGTTTTTAATATCAGCGCCATATTATTTTTTAAACAGAAAAATAGTTCTTCTCAGTCTGATTTCATTGATGTATGATTTGTTATGATTTGCTCTTCTAAGACCACAGTGTTTGTCCAAAATTCCAAATAATGTTCTATCCGGCTGTTGTCTGTTGTCCGGATATAATTCAAAATAAATTTGTGCTATTTTCGTACTATTCCTATCAAATTACATTCTACTATATTTTGTAAATTACCACACAGGAAAAACATTAAAACCATTTTTGTAATTAAATATATGATTTTGATTGGTATAATTAGTTGTAGAACTCAGCTACTTTGAAATTAACAACAAATAAATAATAACTGCACAAAGAAACTTTCCGTTAGTTATCTCAAAGGTGTGATTTTGTTCCATCCTTTTCATAAAAGAGGACGTATGCTTCTCTACTCACAAGCGATTTTGGTGAAATTGGTGACACGTGTGAATCGTTATATTTGTGCCACGCGCCAGTATACGGGTGTCTGCAGTATGCTGTATAATTCACTCTCTAAGTAGTCCCACTGTAATTTAAAAGTGCATATAGATTATAACAACAAGTAACCACATTTTCTACTGCAGAATTGTCCATATCAAATCCTTCTAAAGGAAATTCGATAGCATCATTCAATTTGCTTCTAAATCTTTCCGTCGAAAAGATTCTTTTCAAATTTATTACTAAAATATGGGGAAACTTGTGGATTGATGGGGACTTTCTGCATTTTTTCCTTTTCTTGCATGTCGAACACGTCGGTTTTTCATTTCCATTCGAAGTTTCTTCTCTGGTAAACGAATCCAAGCATCGCCACAAACTCAGTTGGTCGGTTCTTTGTGATATGGAGAGAGACAAATCCCAGAAAGGATCAAAGGTTACTGATGAGTGTCCGCAGTGTGTGCATTTCATCGTGAATTTCAATTGACCAACGAAATTATCTACAATCTTAGAGTTATGCATCCTCAAATATGTCACCCATGACTCTTGTGCATTTCCGCTGTCGCTCATTTTTTCGTCAATCTCCGTTAAGATTGGTTTACGTTTCTCATTAATTAACTTAAAGTCTTCATGTAAACCTTCTAAAAGATAACGAAAAAACTCCTGGGCATCTTGATGGGAATTACCCATAAATCGAGGAGCAAAACTTTGAATCTGATTTTTTAAGGAGGCCGTATTTACTACTCTATCAAATGAATCTTCTGACCACAACTCCTTGATGACTTCTGTTGTACAAATACCTAACTGTAAGAATTCACTTGGGTTGCTTGATATTTCCTAACTGCATCTCATTTTGAATAGATAAATGACCTCGCAAAATATTCAACACAAAACTATCACAATCACGATACCCTTTTTGAAAAATTATGTAGTGCGCCTAGGCAAATAGAGTACACCTCGAATTAATTCGATAAATTCTTGTGCAGGATAATTCATTGCTTTTTGATTAATGCTCGTTTGCCAATTTGAATTCAATTAAAGAGTCATGACTCCACCGAGCACAGATCATGAATTACTTACTCAACAATAAAGTATTATGACGAATATACAGTGTGTGAAATGACGGATATAGGTACAGTGTGTCAATTATTTCGGTTACGGTACATATTTTAACAAAATCCGGAAACAAATTTTAATTTTAATTCGGCATACTTCAACGGAAAAATGCTACCCCTACCTTCAACTCCCTTCGAATGACAGATACAACCCCCATTTTTTTAATGGGAGGTATAGGCTTGTGATATATCGTTTGAAAGGTCTCTTCATTCTCTATTCAGAAATGTTATAGCTTTCAAGTTTATTGCAACAATTAAGATAAAATGAAGATAAAATTCTTTAATTCTATAAGATACAGGTAAAACTTATTGCAATATACTCGAAACTTATTTCGTGTTGAGGTACTGATGATAAGAAAGTAAGCAAAAACCATAGCAATGTTCTTTTTAGATGGTATCCTTCAAAACACCGTAAATAATTTCGGTGGCAACGTTAGTTTGAAACACCTTGTCAACTTGTTTTGTATGTTACAACATTAGTTGTCAGTATTTTAATTGAAGTTTAAAGTTCGCTAACTTCAAGTCTGACAAATGGTTAGATTAACGGAAATGCATAAAGTAACAGTTTTACAAATGATTGGTTACCGAGAGAAAACCCGCACAAAACAGGAAGTAGATCGCCTATTTCATGAGAAATTTTTTAATTTACCGCCCATATCTCAAGGAACAATAAGCAACATAGAGAAGGAGTTTCGCAAGCTTGCTCATGTGGGGCAGATAAAAAAAGGAGCTGCCAATGCAATGAGCGATGAACTCAAATTCTCAAATTAGAGGTGATGCTTGAGTTTGAGGAAAACCCACATACATCGAGTAGACAGGCATCCACTACGTTCAATGTTAGCCATACATCGATAGTAAACATATGAAAGAAAATAAGGCGTATAACCGACCATTGTTCGCTGCCCTTGAGACAATCGTAGAAAATGTAATGAGCGGTGCTGTGGAATTTTACGACTAAGCCTTCTCATTAGAATACACCGAACCACAGACAGGTCATCAATTTTTTGTTAGTGCACCTTCATGAATAATAATCTATACTGCCTTACTGCCGTTGGATAACTATTTTTCTTTTTATATGTTTTTATATTCGGGTTTTGTGGTTTCCGACTCATTCCTACTATTACTTTTTGTCAATGCAAAAATTCATTTTATTTACGGTTCTTGGACAATACACCGTTGTCCAACTCTAAGGTTCTATCGAACTTCACGATGAAGATAACTCACTTAGAACTTTCAGATTCTAGATATTTTTAGAATTGGGCAAAGCTGCCTCATCTAGTAACTCTCCTGGAGAATCTGCTACCTCTGAGACCTCTGGAACTTCATTGATTGAGTTCGATGTTTGATGATACATTTTGATGTAGTTGAATTCTCAAAGTTCACTCACAAATAATTATAAGACAACTATGAAGTGATAAATTTAGTCAAATGTGATTGGTTTGAATGTGTAGGGTATGAATATTTCGCCTACTTATTCAAGAAGAAATAATTAAGTCGTAAAAAATCAATATTTGTTCAGGTATTCAGAACAATAATTTTGTCTCATTTTCATTTGGATTTTCTATTTTTTCAGGATCATCGAATAAGAAGTTGGAAATAGCCAGACCCAAAAGAATATACGAACTACCAGATAAACTGCTAATGTCAGGAATCAACTTGCCAGGTACTTGTGTTATTTTAACAAAAATCATGACTTCAAGGGAGTTATTTCGAATTTAACAATAAATATATCTGTCAACTTGGGTGATTTCTCGTGACATGTCATTTTTTTATAAAATTCAGTTATGAAAATTACATAAAACTTTCATTACATATTCCATTCATTTTCCACGACTGAAAATAGGAGGTATATAGGTATATGTAGATATATTTCTCTAGAATTGATGTTATTGTAAAATCGGTATGTTATCAAAGATAAAAATGCAAGTCAGTTGAATTTTACATGAAACGATATTAGTCATATTTTAACCCTCGTCGATTTTTTAATTAGAGGCACACTTAATGAATTCAATACTTCATTCAACACCTTAAATAAGATGGGTACGCTACTTACTGAAGTACTGCCTTTCCAATTACTGGACTATGCTTCTTGTTGTTGACATAAGCAGAAATCAATGTATCTGTAAAATTCTCTTTCAACTATACACGTTGCTCATCAATGATTATCCGTTGTTTGCAGTACATTTAAATGGTAGATACTCAGCGACACCTGATGAGATACCGTTGCTAGACAGCACGAAGATGGTTTGGATCTAACGTTTCGTTGCTATGTCGTCTCTTTTCGATTTCAAGGACAGAAACAGAACGGACAAATGCATGAATTCAGCTCTTTTGGTCAAATATAGATTGAATAGGGCACTATATCATCTGAAATTCAATATTCGGTGATTTCAATGTCCAATATCAAAAAATTTGCAAATGTAAATGACGAAAACAGTCACGAAGTCGAGGCTTATGCGATGAAAAATGGCCTTATTCGGTTCATAAACTAGCTAACAAAGATTCTTCTAACTGAACTGGAGAATTTGCTAGTTTTCCAGATGTATAATCAACAAACAATACTGAACATACGTAATCATCCTAGTTTTCCAGATCTATAATCAACAACCAATACTGAACATACGTAATCATCGTAAGTTATCATTTGGAGTCGGCTGATCATAAACTCGTTTCAGTTTCGAATGAATTGCCAATAAGTAGAGCAGTTTAGTTGCTGAATTCATTCAGGTAGTGATCTAAACTTCACACTTCATTTTCAAAAATAATTTTGGAAGATCGACATCTGTATATTTTGCATTTTCTTAATTTTTTTTTAAGTAATAAAAACTCTCTGACACAGCTTCAAGATCTTCAAAATAATTTCTGAACTTTATCCTGGTTAAACGTTTATTGTTCTATCAGACATGGATGTGTATATTATTTTTTTTCATGAAGAAGCCTCCTATCGACAAACAATGGTTCAACAAAAATTAGAAGCANTTAATACTGTTTATATTGCGCTTGTTTTATTTCCGTCCATAGCAACTCGAAAACCCAAACGAATGTTTTTGGCCGGCTAAATTAACTAAATACCCCTATGTGCGTCTGTTAAAGATTCATAATACTAGTGAAAGAACTTGACAATGAATCGGACTAAAAAGTGAAAAATGAATATAGTTTAAAAAAACTAAAAAACACGCTTTTAAAGACCTTCAAACTGAAAAGTTAAAAATAAATTGTTTTTAAATGAACTTAAAACAATAACGAACGAAAAATACTAGTATTATTGTGAAAAAAGCGTGGGCGCTTTGTGCCATATTTTTGTATACCAGGCGCCCGTCGCTTTTTTCACAATGATACTAGTATTTTTCTTTATTTGTTGGTTATTGTGCTTTTACAAAATAAAATTTAATTTACGAGAATGACATTTCAAATATAAAATCTATAATCAAATATATAATCTACCCCCAAAGAAAGAAATTTAAGGGCGTTAAATCCGGTGATCTCAACTGCTCTCCTTCTGCCAATCCATCTATCCAGAAATCTCTCGTTCAACCACTGTCGGATGGGAAGGAAATAAAGAGGTGAAACACCGTCCTGATGGAAATGTAACAGATCCTGCTGCAAAAGTTCATTACCTCCTTCATCTATTTGAGTTTCTAGCTTGTGAGTTATAAGAGGATCGATAGTCTCTTCAAGTATTTCAAGGTACAGATTGCCAGTCAAGTTCTCTTCCAAAAATAATATACCAATAATGGCATTTCCAAGAATACCAGCCCAAATATTTGTGGCTGTTGTGTATGCCCATCCCGAGAAAAATGTAGGTTTCCGTCACTCCAATAGCGACTATTTTGTCTATTAACATTGCCCTTGAGAAAAAATCAACACTCATCGACTCAACAGATGTTTAATAGCAGATTAGGGATGGTATTGGCTCGATGAGACATGATTTCACAAAACTTTATTCTTCTATTCCCACACCATGGGATATAAAAAAGATAATACACATGCACCCAGGACCTCCAGAATTGTATGCATTAATCATACTCCACAAAGAAGGACATCCAGCCAGACCCGTGGTATCATATATAGATGTCCCAATCAGTAAGTTGTCTAAATTTTCAAATTCAAGATTCAGAGACCTCACAAAATTTAACCCTTCAAACACAGTTCTGAATTCAGTGGACCTAGCTGACAAACTATCAAATCTGAATATCAAAAATAATTTCAAACTAGTATCGTTTGACGCATAAAACATGTTTCCTAACATCCCAACAGACGAATGTCTTCCCCTCGTGAAATACATATTAGATAAGAGTCATACAAATCCATATATAACCACCGAATTTTGCAATCTCCTTGGTATATATCTGAAAAATATTTATTTACTCGATCAGAAAAAATGATATTTTTGATATGAAAAACTGAATTGTACATGACAATAAGTTGGTTTTCTCTCTTTAACAATACCAGTTGCTTCAATCGAACATTTCTTACTTTCAAAGAATAGTTTCATATTCTTGATTTGAAATGAATCCAAATTGCTTGCGTAAAAACAATTTTTCACTTTAAATATATCATTTTCATTGCTTGCTCAGGTGGAGAAATGCATTTTCAGGGCTAGAAACGTATCGTTATGTTATACTGTGAAAAATTGACATGAACATTTCTTGTCAAAATTTATATATGTTGTATTTATGCAACCAGTAAACAAAATTTATTTGGACTTCAACTTTGTGCAGATGTCAGAAATACTAAAGTGCTATATAGGTACTACCTAATGAAAGATAGTTGAAGTTTCGGCAGAAAATATATGACAAGTAATTATGAGGAATAGTAGAGATTTAGTCTGAATACAATGTTTTGTTGTACAAACAGAAGCTTGATGTAATATACATAATGTAGTGTCAAAAATAATTGAAACAAAAGTATTCATTGAAAAGTTTTATTGAATAGTATATTGTATAAAAACAAAATTCGGGTGTAAAACAACTAAAAATACAATTCTTTGGTCGAAATGATTTTGTCTATCTAACCTAAGATACAATGATTTTATTACTATGAGATCACAGAAAAATAAAAAATTAACATTTTTTAAAGGAACTATTCAGTCTTTTCGGTCTGAATCAAAAACATTTCCAAAGTCACTGGTCAAAAGATATAGAAGAAATATAAAATATTGTAACATTTAAAGCACATTCGAAATGAAACTGTTATCCCTATGCCCTGCAATCATAAAAACAGTGGAGTTAACCAACTAAAACATGTAGATCCATAGAAATGGTAAAAATATAAAACAAAACCAACATATTTGCTAGGGTGGATCATATATTGACACAATTCTTCTTATATAAACTGAACCAACCTTCCTCAAAAATAAAATTTGATGAAACATGTATGATAACAGTAACACAGTACTTGAACCAGTAGTGTGCATGTCCAAGATAAGGATGAACAGCATGGGAATCAATGGGGATCTCGGTAACTGTAATAGTTACACAGTAGTTCTAGTTGGGCACGAAGTTGCGCAAATAAGTGATCAATAAATAGATGTTGAGAAATACAGAAAATATTGTTTACTTCCGAAGAAAGTCGAAAACAAAAAACAAAATTTGGCGGTTCGGTTTGTATTTTGTCCTGAAGTTATTTGAAAAGTTTCTAAAAAACCAAACGCACTTTTTTTATGCCACTTTTCAGCTCTACAAAATGGCGTTCACAAAATCTCCGCACAACGTTTCGTTTCGAAGAAACCATCATCAACTTTGTTTTTTATATGACACGAAAAAAAGTACACCCTGCATGACATTACAATAAAAAATGCCATGTCACGTATTTTTGGTGTCATATAAAAAAACTAAGTTGATGATGGTTTCTTTGAAACAAAACGTTGTAGGGATATTTTGTTAACGCCATTTTGTAGAGCTGAAGAAGTGGCAACGAGACAGTGCCTATATATGGTTTTTTCAAAACTATTCAAATAACTTCAGAAGAAAAATAAAAACCAAACCGCCAAATTTCGTTTCTTTTCCGAATATATCCAGAAGTAAACATAAATATATTGACATCTAATTATATTGACCCCTTAATTGCGCAACTTTTTGCTTATTCGACCTATTGATGTGTAACTCTTACGGTTACCGAGGATCACCATGCTGTTCCTCCTTATCTTAGGCACACTGTACTTATACATATTCAGTTTTCATTTTATGAAGTGAAATATTCATGGTAGATAAAGATTCAAACAGAAACATAACTTCTTCCATTGCACAAAGTGTGTATGACAGTGGGATCAGATGAATAACAATTCTTGAGATCTAAAACTTTCAATTGTGTTTGGTGTATCACTTCAAAAGCTTCAAAATGTTTACTATATTCCAAACATTTTAGTGCATTACAAATGAAACGAATATTCCCATCAAAAGCAGTTTTATCAACTATGATATGTTTGACATGAAATAAATATGGGATTTCATTCTGAACTTCATAAACCAACACTGATCCAACATTGTACTTCACCCCATTCAACTCATACCAATTAATTCCATGGAAATTCTCAAAACTAAAATTCAACCCTTTGGTGAAGTTTTTATCAAGTTCATAACATTTACCAAAGTTCTCAACTACATTGAACCCTCTGTTACTAATGAAACGGAATAAATTTTTCAGTTGATTTCTGAGAGCAAGACTAAGAGGTAAATTCTTCCTACTCCTTATATGATGTGCAGGTGATTTGAAATCTCTGTGCTTTCCTTCGAATCGTATACTCGAAATTATAGTAAGTGGGCCCATTTTCGCAACTACACGAGCATAATGCAGTAGGAAATGGTGTTTAGGCTTGAGGTTTGTATTAAAAAGGTTAATGAATAGTTCATGATGGGTTTCCACTAAAAATTTCAATAAATCAATTGATTCTTGCGTTAAACTAGAGCAAGTCACAATGGTGGTTATGTTGAGAAGTGTTAAATATAATTCCCATAATACATCATTTTCAGGAACTAAATCTCCAACAAAAAATCTAAAATTTTTAACTAGATTATGCATTTCGGATGCAGAAAATATAATGCATTTTTTGTTAAGATGTTCTTTAGTGATATGAGGAGGAATATTTTTTTCAGAAGATTCATACTGATAGTGCTGTATTCTATCATTGAGTATTCCCAATGAAAAATAATTTTTACTTATCATTCCATCTATCAAAAAAGCCATATCATATCTATGTACACCTTCAAAAAGATCATGCATAATGTCACAGGAAAAATTGTTATAAATGTGAAAATTTGGTAACACATTGAACACACATCTTTCCTTGATTCCAATATTATTCTTCAGGTTATCCTCGTAGTTTTTTACTATCCTCAAGTTATTTTCATTTTCCTTCAGCATAAAGTTCATTTCATTTTTAGTCGATGTACAGAATCTGCAATAATATGTGGAACTGAAACTTTCGTGTAAACCAAACATAGAATGTATCCCCAAATTGTCCCCCAAGAATGCAATAGTTGTGAAATATATTCGTTTTTTCTCAGATGAAATATTCACCTCGATTCCGTGCGATTCAAGATGTTTTAGATCTGTTATTAATTTTCTAAAAACAACGTCATTGCCAAATTGACCTCTTTCATTACTATTGAAAATTAAAGCCAAAAATATATTCTCCAAACGAGTGTAATACTCTGGAGGTATAGTGGGAATTGAGAAGTATATCGTTCCTATTTTGTAATTACCAGCTGTACTGCCTAATGGATTACCAGGTTCGAAGTCATCGAAGTACAGTACCAGAGGAAACAAATCATCTTTATGTTCATGTTCAATTTCATTCCAGACAGATCCATTCACACTATTCGATATAATTTTGTTATCAAGAAAATTTTTTAAACATTCATTCTTATAACAGTTTATTATTTTATAAACATGTGGCAATTCAAATAAATGTGTGAGTGTTTTATCCAATGGAATGTAATAGGCATATTTGCGTTTCAGATGTATGGAAATTTCACCTTTTTTTTTCTGCTGTTCAGGAACGATTCCAATTTGAATCTCTTCAGGTCTAATGAAAGTATTCAAATTTTGGAAGTATTGCATTCGTTTATACTCTGTTTTGAGTTCTGAAAAAGGGTTACATAGTAATTGAAAAACTATATTAATTTTTGTTCGGTGCTCTTCCAATTGTAACAAATCAAATACACAGTTCTTGGTTGCTCTCATTATCACTGAAATGAATTCGTCCATTTCTAAAACAATATCTTGTATATCATTTCTGGTCAAGGTTAACTTGTCATACAAATTTGCCAGGAAAAATTTTATCGATTCATTGAAAATCTTTTTGAATTGTTCAGTGTTATCAAGATTTTCACATTTATCAACAATTGGTGCTGATTCTGGAATATTCGAAGAAGTATTATCTTTAGCAATAAATAACTCATTGTCATCGACCAAAAATTTATTGTTACTGTTACCACATGATGTATTATCAGAATTTGAATGTTTTTTTTTTATGTGTTCTCTCAAATTATGTTTCTTGTTATAAACTCTTCCACATCTCGTAAAGGGACAACTGAAGTAGTTCATTATTTTGTGAAAAAATTCTATATGAAAAATATATTTCTTAAAGATTGCAAAATCTTTGCCACAAATATTGCACTTCATTTTTCAAAATCTTTACCACAAATATTACAGTTCATTTTAAATCAAATGCTCAAAAATAACAAATTCGATGTATCATTGCCTGGATATATGCAGAATATCTGATAAATAAGGAGGTACATTATCAAATTTGGTGTCAATATTGAAAACACATTTCTGAATCAACACCCATAAATATTCACATTGCGCTGGATATTTTATATCCAAAACATGAAATATTTTAAACAGGGTGTCGAAGCAAGGTACTATTGATTTAAAATGATAACGAATCTTATCAATGATGATATAAAAATTACTGGGACAGTCATAAGGCCCTTCAATCAAGATGAATGGTTGCAAAGTTGTTTTCTTTGCAGCTGCCTGATCTCTCAAGTTTTTGAGTTTCTCCTCAATTTCAGAGACACTCTGTAATGGAAAGTGTTCAATAAGTGGCAACAAAATCTAAAAATGATTTCAAAAGAATAAGGAAAATGGTGGCTACATACCGTAACATGCACAAGAAACCCCTCCTGGCATTCCACTGTAGAAAATTTCCAAGTTTTATTGTTGAGTTTCACTCTACCTCTCGGTGGAATCAATTGAGGTAGAAGCGAAATCTGTTTAATCAATTTGACATCTGCAAAATTATATATGTATATTATTATGAATTCGATAATTCTAAATACGCAGATATAAATTAACAGAAATAATTTTATCAACCAACAACTATTCAACAATGAAATATACAAGGTCTCAATTATTATATGAAATGTTTCTTCTTGAAAAATTCTTTCAAGAAAAAAAATTATAAATAATATGTCAATGTTTTCCATGTGGTTTGTGAAACTGTAAGTAGTTAAAACCTTGTAGTGTTATTATTATAAAAATGATAATTATTTGGACATTTCTTCTTACCATAATACTATTTTGGAAAATATCTCATGATCTTTTATATACACAGAGCAAGTAGGTAGTTTTGATTTTATGAAATTATATTATTGGACCATATTTGACATGTCAATGTTAGATATGGCAACACTGTTACCACGAAATGAGTTTCATACATTATAAATTTTCAATTCATAATTATTCCTAGGTATTTTAGGAATGTATTATAGGTCATATAGTTCAAAATACCCTGATAAACTAACATTAGGAGAAGGTAGCCTATGACTGACTATAGTCGAGTAAAAATACGGGAAATTTAGAAAAATAGACTGAATTCTATTTTCATTTCTGGCCAGACTCGGTATTTTTGATAAACTAACCTGTATTTTCGGTAGATTCAATTTCTTCTATCAAGCTCACCAACAGTTTGTCTACTGCAATATTTTTCTTATATTCCAGAACTGACTCAAAAAATGGTTCCCATTTGACATAAAAGCTCATACTCGACGAGGGGTAAAGTCTCTCAAAATCTTTGGCAATCTGAAATTTGTTACTATGTTGAATAAAATAGTTTCACAGTAACCTTTATGAAAATACCAAATTTGTATAGGTCTCTCAATTGGGTGAAAGTTACACCTAACTCACCAATGAAATGCCTCTGGGATCAGTCAAAACTGACCAAAGTTTTAAGAATTCTGCGGCTGACTCACACTTTTGCTCTCTTCTTTTGTCATACAGCAGATCCCATTTATTTTCCACGGTGGTCCATGGATCTGAATTATGTAATAGCCATATGTAGTTTTGGTCGTCTTGAAGTTCTGCTGGATAAGGTAAAAAGCATACACAATATTATTAGATGTTGATAATAACAAGTATGGGTACCTACTATTTTGAGGAACTTACCTGCAACTGTATCTGTCGCCTCCTTTTCGGGAATATTTTCAGTGGAATTCCAAGAAGACTTCCTTTTTCGTGACTTCAAAGTTATTGCATCGTCACATTTATATATAATGTTTCGGCATTTATCCACCAATCGCCCTTTTGCCACAATTGATTTTCCTGTTACAGAGTGTCGTTTCTTTATAGCAGGAATATAGTATATTCCAGTTGTTTCTGTTGGAAAGAGTTGGACAATTTTAGCAGCTAATATAGTATACTCGTCATGACTAAGTCTTCTGAAAATATACAAGAATACAAACTATAAGGTACAACCACTGCCATAAAAGATGTTTGTATATAAAAAACCCAGTAGCAGGAAATCTACATTGTCTTTATAAAGTATTTTATGGTGACAGTAAATTAAAATAAATGACATACTGCTTTATGATGTGGTTATATAAGTGTTTCATAATAATGTCCACCAAACGAGTTCTTCTTGTTCCATCCAATTGTTTTTTTGTTTCATAATACTTGAGAACACTATTGCCCATTGGTGATGTTTGGAGAATTGTTTTCAGGTCGAAATCGCTGAACTTAGGCCGAATGATCAAGTCCAAATTATCACCAAAGTATTCATCAACGTGAAAAGAACTGTCGGCAGGAAGGGAAGAAGGTTCAGTTGAGCAATGGCTTATAGTGCTTGTCGTCTGGATGTCACTAAATTCATTGATAATTTGGATCAACTCGTGAGGTTTAGGACTTTTATTGATTATATTTTCCGCGATATTTTCTTTCTGAAAGAAAAAAACCACTTCCACACCATAATATTTCAAACCCGAACCCAACTTACTTGAGAAACAATGTAGTCATGTATCTTTTTTTTAATCATAATACGCTGCCCTATGAGAGGAACTAATTCTTTTAAATATTCCTCAGTAAGGAAAGGTAAATCCTCAACTGTTACTTTGTTATCTGAAATAATATTGCATTAATAAGTGAGTTATGTGAAATGTAAGTAAGCTTCAATTATCGAGTAGATTATTGATTTTTCTGAAAATCTTGGTCTTATTGAAATATGTGCATCTCAAGCTATAGTTTGAGAATTATTGGGAAATATTGTGTCCATCGTATCCCTCAAAAAAATCTAAAAACCACTGTATATTTGATTCATCTCGAACATCAACTGAAAAGTAGGTTCTTGAACTCTACTTGTTCCTAGTAGATCATATTTTTTATTGCATAAAGTGGTTCCGTCATCAGTAATTACGAAAACTAATCCTAAAATCCTATGAAATCAACTTTTACTGTAAACAAATGAAAAGCTGAATTCCTGTGTGATTTTCTGATTTTAAAACTCGAAAAATATAAGTATGGATTTTTGCATGAAATAAAGAATCCCTTTAGATACTTCTAGTAAAATTTTCAGAAAAATAACACTGCCACATCATCTTAGAGTCTCAGATCACAAAATGCATCCCGAAAATGAGCTGCAAATTTCTGAAATTATGGAAAATAAATGTAGGGAAATGAAAAAATAAAATTTTTAAAATAGCGAAAATAAACTTTAAAGTCATACCTACAATATCTCGGAAATATAATATATTCCGAGATATTTTCATAAGAAACCTATTGTAACCTCCTCTAACCGGAAGAACAGATACACTTTTTAATATTTATTCTTATATGTACAGGGAGTCCAATTTTAGACACTTTTGCATGATATCTCAGTTGTCTTTGGAGATAGAAAGCTGCGGTCTTCACATTACTGCTCTACTTTTTTTTTAAATATTGCTGACAACAGAACTTCCATAGCTCTCCCTATTTTTTGAGAAAAAGGGCGAAATTGAATTTCCAACTTTTAGTAGAACACGTCCTGTATCTTGGTCACATTCAAACCTGTCGGTTTTATTTCCATTAACGTTTGAATTCAGAAAATTGAATAAAAATATTTTTTTCAATGAAACACCCTGTATATTTCTCTATATTTCTAAAAGGATTATTTCAAGTCCATTAAAATTACATAATAGTTGATATTTCACTTCGTTTTAATGGGTGTATAATAACATGTGGATAATTGAATAAATCTAGGTACTGCTCATTTTGTTGAATTTGGCATTATTCAAAATATTCAAGTGGTTTTACAAGTTCTGCTTCAAACACAGTTTGATTAATTTTATAAAACATCATCTATTATATACCAGGCATGGACGCAATGATATAAATAATGAGGTATACCTAGATCAAGTAACAAATCATCAATTAAAAAAATATTCCTTTCATTCGGTATATATAGGTACTAAAGACTTCAAACAAGCCACACAATGTTTAATTACAGATTATTTCCGGGTAATTTCTTGTAATAGGTACTTACCGAGGAATTTTGATATGATTATATCATCAGCCTTCCACAAATTCAGAAGTTGTTGGATATCCATGCCCACGTTTTCATAACACAACACTATTTACTCGGTTTATTCTGTGATATAGTGGCGATTAGAAACGATACAGCAAAAAATAGAAAACCGGCTTCTGTCTGATGCCTCAACGTCTCTTAACTCAAGACCTGATTTGGATTTATGGCGTGACTTGACGAAGGTCACTGGCAGATTCGCGGTTAGCAAGTCACATGATAAATAATAAACGTTGCCAAGTGTATTTTTCATCGCTAGCCTATCGGAAATTCAAGAGAAGTGATATGTCCTCTGATAGCTGAATTATTAATATGAACTTATAACTGAATATGATCTCAGAGTTTCTATGATATTGTTGTTGCCATTGCCAAATGTGTACATCATGACAAATAATTCCCTATAGTTGAATTTATTATAGGAATTTGATGAATTAGCTTTCAATTTAAATAGTTTGAAGAAATATAAATATTTTGATGTAACCGCAAATTCAGAAGGGGAAAAATATCTCAAATATGAATAAAATTATAACAAATTGTCATTCAAAATACTTACTTAACTATAGGTACCTCATAGGTACAATCTCTGGCGCTGCCATCATCTTAATTTGAATTCCAAATTGCGTAAATTTTGAAATGAGGTCTTTTTATATAATATCATGTGCTTTATTATGCGTAACTGCAGTTTAATTGAACCTTTTTTGAGATTTGGTACGCCTTGAATTTTGTCGAAATAACCATTTTAAGTAGGTACACATAAAATTAATTCGAAAGAATTTTTGTCTACTTTCTCACGTATACCTATTATAGATATCAAACACTGAAAAATATTATGCTGCTTATTCTCATTTCCCAATTTATACAGCAGATTGTAATAGAAGTTGTCGACAGCTTCGGTCACCGTTTTTTTTCAAGTTGGCCTTTTTGCTTTTCCTATGAATTTATTGAAATCAATCGGTCTTTGTGGCATCACCGCCTAGCTACCAATTCTCAAGAAACCAGCATTATTGAAATGAGAAAATGATAATGTCAAATGGTTATGATGATTTACTTACTACAATAAATTTTCACTTCCAAAATAAAGATAAAAAAGTCAACGGTAATAATCAAAAATTTAGAGTTACTTGCCAATGTTTCAAACATAATTGAAAGTTCACCTTGCAACTGAAAAACTTGTTTTCAAGAATTTTCTGTAAATGTGATACCGAACATTATCTAAAAGACCAAGAAGGAAGCATATTTTTTGAATTGAAGAAATACATATTTGACTTATTCTATATGAAGGAAAGAAAGTATTCTCTCGAAATATTACGTTTATCAATTCGAATAAATTGTCAACATAAACCTGAAAAAACTATTTCTTTTTATTCAAAACAATGCATTTTTCTGTTCTGGTTTTGAGAAAAAAGAGGTATAGAATCAAGATATTGGGATTATTGATTGGAACAAATTAATAGTATCAACTTGAAGAAACTATTTCTTCATTTGAAACCAATGCATATGATTATTCTTTCATCGAGGAAACATAATTGTTGAATCAAAAAATTACCTTTTTCTAATTCAAACAAATGGTAATGTCAACCTGACAAAATTATGTTTTTTCATTCAAAACAACGCAAATTCATATACTTGCAAAGCTTTAAGAATAAGATATCAGTTACTTCGATCATACCTAATGCTTCCGTGGTATATTCTTGTTCATTCACAATAATGCTGCATTTGTTAAATTATATTTAACAAATGCAGCATGGTATATTTCAATACTACTCGATGATAGATAACTGTGCCACAATTTAACCAGCTCTGTCTTTTACGAAATCTCCATACATAGACTCGAATTTGAGTCGACCATTTTTTCGTTGTTTAGTTTCTATTTCAACAAAGGTTTTCGTTTTCTCGAAAATACTGTGTTTTGTGAGAACGCCTCCCCTTTGAATTCCAAATTCAAGAACATATATCCAATTGACGCTAGACGAAATATAGGTATTAATAATTTTTAGTTCCTCCGCCACTGTGAAAAGTACAGATTCCTATATTCCTTCCCAGTCTTCAGTCTTCCATCTCCAGTCTAAAGATGGGAGAATGTGTGCATTTTGCCCCCTTCCACTTTCATTTCTGCGCTCCCCTCTCTCATCTATACGAATGTGGGAAGTTACTTCTCAATCTCAAAGTTTCTATGAAGTCTGTCTGTGTAGTGTAGTTGTAGTTTGAGTAGTTAGGCGGTTCGGATTTATCTTTTAATCGAAGGGGTTGCCCTGTTTCCTTGTACTTTATATTTCTTTCATAAGTGAAATACGTAGTTTGAAAAACAATTTGTTTAATTTATTCAACTCTACAATGAATATAAGTCAGTAGAAGCAGAAAAGTGGCCAACTGGACAAGGTAAGCGCATTTGATTGTTTGTATAATATGCCAATACTTTATGACCATATTCTTCTGTTGATGAAATTTTATGAAGCTAAATTTTTACTAATATCATATTTTTTTGGGCGGACCAATCTCTTTAAGATCTGAAAAATTTCAAGCTTTATACAGGGTGGCTCAAATCGTGACTAATATCCTTCCACTGTACCATAGTTTTCTCGTCATGTTACTGAGTTTCTATATTTTTCAATCGTTCTTTTCATTCTAGAAAGTTCTAAAGCTTCTGTGAAGGTTTTATCAATATATTATATACACCATATTCAACATCTTCGAATAATCAAAATCCACAACATGCTTTCCTGAAATGGATGTGTCATATTTTAGAATTCTTGACATTTTGTAGTCAGATCCTTTCGATTAATATTGATTTATACAGCGTGACTCACGGTCGATGGTAGGTTAGACGTTTCTGGAAAACGCAAAGCATGATTTTTCTGAAAATTTCACACGCTCCATCGCAAGAAAAACTGTGCGCCAATGTATAAAATGTTTCAGAAATAATCCGACGTTAGTGCAACCCATTATGGGAAACTTACCGAGTGAGAGATTGGAACCTCAGCCGCCATTTTATATCTGCGGAGTAGATTATGCCGGACCACTCATGATCAAAAATAAGAAAGGTCGTGGTTCGAAACTTTCTAAATGCTACGTCAGTCTATTCATTTGTTTCGTGACGAAAGCAATACATCTGGAGTTAGTTTCCGACCTAACGAAAGATTCATTTATTTTAGCACTTCGTAGGTTTGTAGCGCGAAGAGGAAAACCTCTAAGAATATTTTCTGATAACGGAAAGAATTTCGTCTCTGCCAGTTCTGAACTAGCCGAGTTGGGTAAGTTCATTCAATCTCACGAACTTCAATTAACAGAATCATTCTCAATCGAAGGTATTGAATGGAAATTCATTCCACCATACTCTCCGCACTTTGGAGGTCTGTGGGAAGCCGGTGTAAAATCCATAAAATATCATATGAAACGAGTCATGGGAAACGCTCACCTTACTTTCGAAGAACTTTATTCTTTATTAACGCAAATCGAGGCAATAGTAAATTCTCGTCCACTCACACCACTTTCCACTCATCCATCAGATCCTCTACCTCTTACTCCGGCACACTTCTTAGTCGGAAGATCACTCATTGGGGTACCAGATGCAGATTTGAGAACTGTACCACAAAACAAATTGTCATCATATGAAAGGATGCAGCAAATCACCCAGCATTTCTGGGAAAGATGGAGCAAAGAGTTCATTTCCGAAGTTCAGCATAGGCTCAAATGGAAAACGTCTCAACAACAATTAAAGACGGGAACTATCGTGCTGATAAAAGAGGAGGACCAACCACCCATGGTATGGAAGCTTGGAAGAATCGAGGCAGTGCATCCAGGCAAGGATGGTATCAACCGAGTGGCAACCATTCTGACTTCAACTGGAATGGTCAAGAGATCTTTCAACAGAATATGTCCACTTCCAATAGAGGAGATTGAAAGCCAGTCCTTTCAAGGTGGGGGCCATGTTCAGGCGTTCACCCTGTATAGTCACTCCCTTCCCGGATGCCAGACACAACCCTGAGGTCGGCGAGAAGAACAGGCAGACGTTTAGGGCAGAAGCTTACTAGCATTCAAACTGAACAGACACTAAAATTACCATTTCACATTTCTTTCTGTATGTTATTGAATAAATAAGTTTATGTTGTAGTTTTTTACAAAACCAAATTCAGTGCAACTTCATTACAATACCCAACATAATGGTCCTATCGAGCCACATTTGAATCCAGTGAAATTTCAATCATAACACAAATCAAACGGGACAGACAGAAGAAAAACCAACCATATTCAACGACGCAGTGGATCACCGCGATCGCAGAGACGATTCAGCCAGATTCAAGCGTACAACACAGCTGGGCGACTGCACATCTGGACAAGCTGGGGTAAGAGAACCTTTCTCTCATTATAATATTCCTACCTACTTTCTACCAAATTTCCTCAGAAAACTATTGCTTTTGCGTTTTTATGAGTCTATTAGTTCCAAAATAATACATAAGCAATATTTGCCAACAGTAAATATCTAAATTTCATTCCTTTGCAAATAATATTTCTCGAAAACATGAGTTTGGAAGAATATAAAAGAGCGCGGGGAGCAATTAAATCAAAAGTAACCATATTCACGAATTTTCTAAATGAAATAAACAAAAAAACCGAACTTCTCGATATAGACTATATCCAAGTGACGGAGAGACTTTCGAAATTTGAAAATACTCTTGACGAATTTGAAAATATTCAAAATTTAATAGAAAGTTTATCTGACGATGCAGAAGCAAATTTCTCGGAAAGAGAATCATTCACAAATAAATATTTCACTCAAAAATCTATTGCAAAGTCAATTCTTGAAATTAAAACAGTACAAGAGAACTCGAATGCAATTCTTTCAAATTTACCAAATAATACTTATTTAAATTCAATCAAGCTTCCAACTATACAATTACCTAAATTCGACGGATCTTATCAGAACTGGATAGAGTTTCGGGATACTTTCGATTCTTTGATTGACAAAAATACAAATATCAATGACATACAAAAATTTCATTATTTAAGAGCATCCTTAGAAGGCGGTGCTGTTCAGGTTATCCAATCTCTCGAATTTTCTGCCGACAATTATGCAGTGGCGTGGAATATCTTACAGGAGCGATATGACAATAAAAGACTATTAGTACACAATCACGTAAAATCTTTATTCAATTTGGAAATGATTGGAAAGGAATCAGGTGAAAAATTGCGAAAACTTTTGGATACAGTTTCCAAGAATTTGAGAGCGCTTGAACAATTGAAACAGCCCACAAAGCATTGGGATACTCTTATTGTATTCCTGATTCAAACTAAATTAGATTCAGTAACAGTTCGTGAATGGGAAAAATATAGAGTCGATAAAGACGTTCCTACTTTAGATGATCTAAAGAGATTTCTAAAATCTCGAGCTGATTTCTTAGAAACGTTAGAATCAAATCAGAACGAAAGGGTTGTCGATAAAAAATACAATAAGCAGAGCGGTACAAGAGGTTTTCACATCACTAGTACGGAAAACAAACCAAAATGTGTATTTTGCAAAGGAGCGCATTACAGTCAAACGTGTGAAGATTTCTTGAAACTTTCTGTTAGCGAAAGAATCGAACGTGTAAAAAATTCAAAACTATGCACAAATTGCCTTCGTCCGGGTCACTATAGCAAAATATGCCGTTGTTCAAATTGCAAAAAATGCAACGGTAAGCATCATACCCTAATTCATATGGACTACACCCAGAATAATACGCCTGTTCCAATTTCCGATAATTCTCAAACTTCTAATAATGCAGTTTCACATGCATTATCTGCAAATATTGCTAACAAATGCGTATTGCTGTCAACAGCATTGGTAAATATTGCGGATAATGATTCAAACATTCACACCATTAGGGTTCTATTAGATTCAGGTTCAGAATCAAGTTTCATGAGAGAGGATACGTGTAGGAAATTAAATTTAAGCACTTTACCTACTAATGTAGAAGTATGTGGTCTCAATCGTACTACTTCCTACATCAAGTCGAAATGCGAAGTCAATATCCAATCTCAACACAATTCTTTTCGTACAAACATTCACTGTTATGTACTTCCGGAAATCACAGGAAAATTGCCGGATACAAAAATATCATATCACTTCAGACTAAATATTCCACATGACATAAATCTTGCAGATCCGAATTTTTACGAACCCAGTTCAATTGATATGTTGATAGGAGCGGATCACTTCTATTCTTTAATATGTGTAGGTCAAATTTCTCTGGGGCGTAACGAACCAATTTTGCAAAAAACTCAACTTGGTTGGGTCATCTCAGGGCCCATTAGTAAATCATTCTCGAAAAGAGTTTCTTGTCATTTCACTCACAACCCTGACATTCAGAACCAATTAGCCCGTTTTTGGGAAATCGAAGAGATATTTCCGAACAAAGCTTTATCGGAAGAGGAGAAATTATGCGAAGAGCATTTCCTTCAAAATACTAGTAGACTAAGCAATGGCAGGTTTGTAGTTAAAATTCCATTCAAGAAATCTTTAGAAAATCTAGGCGAATCGCGTGAACAAGCTAGAAAGCGTTTCCTTTCCCTAGAAAAAAAGCTTAATGAAAACAGTAAACTCAAATCTTTATATAGTGATTTCATGGCGGAGTATGAAAGTTTAGGTCACATGAACAAGATTAATGAAGATGAAACAGTCAAATATTCCTTTTATCTGCCACACCAAGGAGTTATACGCGAAGACAGCGTATCGACGAAACTTCGCGTTGTGTTCGACGCATCTGCCTCTACTTCATCTCAATATTCTCTAAATGACCTTCAAATGGTAGGCCCCACGATTCAGAGGGAATTAATTTCTCTAGTTTTGAGTTTTCGCGAGTATGCTTACGTGGTATGCGGTGATATTGCAAAGATGTATCGTCAAGTTCTCATACATCCGGAACAAAGATCTCTTCAAAGAATCCTTTGGCGAAGAAGTCCCGATAATCCTATCTCGGTGTATGAACTGAACACGGTTACATATGGTGAAGCTGCTTCATCATTCTTAGCAATACGGTGTCTTTTTCAGTTAGCCACTGAAAATGAATCAGCTTACCCTCAGGCAGCAGATATCATTAGAAAAAACTTCTATGTAGACGATCTTTTGTTTGGAAGAAATTCCATCGAAGAAGCAGCCCGTCTTTGTAAAGATGTATCTTCCGTACTAAAGTCTGGTTGTTTTGAATTACGAAAGTTTTATTCTAACAATCCGAAGGTATTGCAATACGTTCGTGATCTGCAACATGATTTGAATGTAGTTGATTTTGGAATCAATGAAAATGCTAAAACCTTGGGCTTAGCTTGGCTACCCAATACAGATATGTTGGTATTCAAAATAAATATACCAGATAACAAAAATGCTACAAAACGAACAATTCTCTCTTGCATTTCCACAATTTTCGATCCACTTGGCCTCCTCAGCCCAGTTACAATAACATCAAAAATCATCATGCAAAAACTATGGTTAGAAAAGTTATTTTTCATAATGATCTAGACAATATTCCGGATCGAATGGGCCTAACCACTTATTTAACTAATAGTATGTCCATTCAACACGAATCTAAACTTATAGCCCAGACTATTAAGAGGTAAGACTTCGTAAGTTCTTAGCTCGCACAAGTTTCGACTTCTGAGGGTTGTCGTTCGTAGGGGTGCGACAGCTGGTTAACAGAAAAATAGATTTTAAACCTGCGAATGGCTATCGTAATTTGGATAATACAACTGTTATTCTAGAAACGTCAGTCAAAAAAAATACCGACATAAACGTATAGAAACATCAGACGCAACTGGTGCAGTGTTCATTTTTTCAACTTGTTAAACATGGGGTGACGTCCTTTCCATTCTGATTTGAATTCAAAAGATCAAAGATTGAAAATCTAATGTCAATCATGAAAATATTTATATTCTTGAACCTTTCATACAATTAACACTATATATACAATTTGAGTAATCATTTTTTTTTTTTTTAATTTTGTACAGTCTAATATTCTAAAGTATTCGTCTAATCGATACAGTCTTGAAATTGAATATCGTGGTATGCCCACAATATTTGTAATATAATTATTCGGGAAGTGCGACCGCTTCCTTTCCAACATCAACATCCACAATGAAATGAGCATCAAGTTGGTATATTTTTCTTCACAGTGCATACACAGCAAGAAGGAAGTTGAAAATTATCAAATACGGGACTATCCGATTCCTTTTCGACAGCCATTAACCGCCTAACGGTATACTTTTGAGAACAAGTTGTAGAATATCCCATTGGAAATATGTCTGAGAAACTACATGATCCCCCTTCTCTGAAAAAAAAGTCAATGAAACTGCAAATGAATTGAATGAAAATTTTGTAGAAAAAAATCAGATTGAGAGACAAATCGTTTCACAACATATATCTTCTTCAATGGTCTTTCTCTTTACGTTTTTGTACTCTAGTTGCTGCATTGGTTTTTATATATTCTTTTGTTCGTCTTTACGTCTTTCGTTCCACATATTTCTTAAGTTATTTTCAAATCTCCTGATCGTTTCTTTGTACTCCTTTTTTTTCATTCGTGGTATTTTGCTTATCAATTCAAAAACTATTTCGTGACCATTTACTTGTGTTCGACAAAAATTGTAGTGGTGATATCAAGTGGTGTAGTGGTGATGTCGAAATATGTTAAAGACTTGTTTTTCGACCGCTTCGTTTGCTTCTGACATTGGCATTGCTAGTGACTAGGGCATGGCTTCAATTTCAAACTTTGCGAAATTAGCTGAAATGAACTGGTGAGAAACTATTCTAGGTTGCGAGTCGAATGAACAGACCAACATGAACACACTCTCACACAACAAAACTGAAGTGATATCTTGGTGTTGGAAGTGATCTGAAGTACTATTTTGGTATCGTTAGATGAAGCAGAAAAGTGACTTATGAAGTTAGGGAGATACATCTGGGAGTATATATATCAGAGTATTGAATGGAAACGTGGAACAGTAGCTTCACTTTTCAAACAGCATTCCTTAGGTAAATAGTGATTTGAGATTAAACATTTCCTGATTTTCTGGATGGAGAGAGAACATGGGTTGGTTTCAATGAGATAGAAAAAGTATTTTGTTGACCTGACATTTACCTAGCACATGTTTCGAAAACAACACCTTGCTTAAATTCCCCAACATTAACCAAAAACATTTCAACATTTTTGGTGTTCGTTGCACTTTTTGGAAAAACTGTATGACTTATCGTTGAACATAATTGATCTCCATCACCAAAACGGTTGTCAAAATGAGTTATTTCTATATGTTTGAAGTACTGTTTCAGCTCCTTTGATCGGCTGACTAGTCTATTAACTTGCTCCTCGGGGTAATCATCTACGACCTCACACAATCCAAATGTACAGTTTCTGGAATTGATCTTGCGACTGTGATGAAATTTGTCATCATTTGGGAATGCCATCTTGGAATTATTTTCTGAAAAAAAATGTTTTTTTCAAAATTTTTTATAACAGCCGATATAACATGATTTCAATAATACCAATAACCAAAAAATCTATCAAGCGAAATATGTGTTAATATTGATTTACCATATCTAGTGGTTATTCTAAAGTCTTACACATGCATGAACTTTGATCTGAACAATTATATTTGAAATAGTTTTCTCTATATAACTCAACAGCATTATTGACTATATTGACTACAGTAGCTATAATAAAATTACAAAAAATATCAATTCATGAAGAAATTATGTTCCACTGACATTCATGAGAGCAAGTTGAAACTCTCAATTGAAATAATGATGGACATTTTCGTTCTATTTTGAAATTGAGAATTATTGAAATGTCGAGATCGTTATTACTTTTCTATATGATATTCAACCTGTGTGGGATATGTCTGAAATAATGAAATAATGATGGACATTTTTGTTCTATTTTGAAATTGAGAATTATTGAAATGTCGAGATCGTTACTATTTTTTTATATGATATTCATCCTGTGTGGGATATGTCTGAGTTCCGAATCCAAGAACAATGGAAAACAAAAAACAATGTTCAACCATACTTAATAATGCCACAGCAATCATTTTAAAATGGACGCATAAATTGATTCAATAAAAGTTATTTCATTATCAATGAATCTAATCACAATGACGTCGCTGGAATACCAAAAAACAGCCCTCAGAATTTCGAAATGCTACCTCGAACTGAATTTCATGAAACTAAACAATTTTGAGAATCTCAGACGGTTAATGATAGATGATAAGTCAACGAAGCAATAGAACACAGTTCAAATTACAATCCACAATAGTCATTAACATCTGCAAAGAAAGTTTTCATACTTTGGCATAGAAACCAGAGTTGATGTTACAACTGGAACTTCCAGTTTCAAATACTTATTCTAACAATTTCTTTCTCAATTCACAAATAATTTTGGAGTTTTGTTCCTGTCTGAAGCGATCGTTGTTCTCGATGAGAAAAATATTATTATCTCAAAACTTTGGTGGACTGTAGTTTTGAGATTCAAGATGATATATAAAAGTATTTGGTTTATGAAGTACATCTATAAACTTCAAATGATTGTACGAATATCATTTATTCCAGGGCGGAAATTTCCATATGTATCAATTTCCACAATGTCAACTGGCTCAAATGTTCAAATATTAATGATACCAACTCGAATTCCTCACTGTAATGCAGAATTTGTTGGTGTTTCGGATGTGCCGAAATCGCATGGAGTTTCGAACCACATATATGTGGAGAAGGAAAGGCCTTCAAGACAACTGTAGCTGGCTAGGCTTTTGTTTCAACTTTGATGATCTACAAAACGTAACACGAGACGTGATTCTTTATACCCAAAAATGGGTATGAAGAAGAAGCGGACAACTTACTCAATTTGGAAAACAAGTAAAGTTTACTCCTTAGGGTAGTTTTCAGGGACATAAAATAGCTAAATAATACCATGAACATCAACAAATCCAACCCAATGTCAGGCTCAGGTCCATTCCACATATACCAGTGACACGTGAGTGATACTAATTGTAAATTAATTTCTGTAATGAATAGCGAAAATTGAATCCAAGTGGTCAGGGTGACGGGAGACAAATCAACATTCCAGTGTTAACATACCGCTACTTTCTGTTAGTTTGAAATAAATAACTTGGGAAGCCACCTAGATCCCTAATGAATTGAACCAATTATTCATGCATTTCTCAGTATATCAATCGTTATAGTTACCGAGATAAGGATATATATAGATTTCAAATCGAAATATTTCACAAATCTCTTTTGGGGTTTTGGAGGATTCTTTTTCGTTTTGGAACATATTTTTTGTTCCTAGTTAGTCTTTTCGAAATTTTCGACATTTCTTTTCTTAGCGGCTCCTTCTTTTCTGGTAGGATTCGATTGTTCGATTATGTTCAATATAATTGATCTATGATATATTTTCAGGTTCAGGTTGTGATTTTCACGTACTACGTGCAGTTTCCCAAAAGTTAAAGAACTATTATAGGTAACCTATTGAGACAAGGAATATAATATTTCATTAGTTTCCATTCTTTTCCTTGGTACAACTGATTTTGAAACCTATTCAACTGTAGTTAACAAAATAGACTATCATATTGAGTTCACTTTTCATACAGATTTGTTCTTGTTGATGACAGTAGAGTGTGCGCGTTGTACAATCACACTAATGAAATCTATGGAAGATCAGAATAACTGGTATCAAATCGTAGATTCAGTACTTTAGCGTTGGGTTTTTTTTTGATTACTCAAATATTCTGCTCTCATTTTGAGTTCCTTACTAGGAAATACACTTCCAGTTCTAATTTTCGTGCAATATTTATTCCATCTATCTTATGAAACACTTCCCGTTTCGAAAATGTTAACTGAATTTCTTTAATATTTCAGAACGCATTTCTTTTCACTATTGTGAACTATGTTTAGCTCAACATGTGCTTAGTTATTGTTCTTCTTTCATTTTGATATTTACTAGTTTCTTAGAAAAAAGTGTGTTTTCTCAATTATTCATCAAACTCAGTCATAGCACTCTTCAGTTTTTCGAATGACTGCCTTCATTACTCCATTTGTGAAAAATCGAACTGTAATTTCGAACATTTCAGTTACATGATTTCTTTGTTATTTGTATAGTCCACCACAACTCTTCTATAGAGCTACGAAAGAATAATAATTTCGTCATACTTCCTCACATATCGAAGAAATTAGGCAGCCTTTTTGATGGAAGCTCCGGTATGGTTGATTTTTCCCATCGTCACCAGTTCACCCAAAATATCAATTAAATATACACATTTGAACTTCCTTTCAAATCACTCCTATCATTAGTGAAAACCATATGCAAATCCGATTGTCGAAGAAATTGATCGAATTCGGGTTAGTTTTTCGAGACATGCACTAGAATTCTCAACAATAATTCAAAGATCTACTTTCGAATTGAGAATAAATAGTATTTTTTTCATTTTCATTTATCCACCTCCTCCACTCACCGGGTTTCTCATTTTCAGTGATATTGATGAAAAATATCTCTCGAATTATACTGAGATTGATTATATTTCTACTATCCTTATCAGAATCAGCGTTTGACTCAGTTCCAACGTGTTGCACATGTTTCAGCACCGGAACTGGATCTGCAACTGAAAGAGTTCTCAAATATTGATGACATTTGATTTTCATCTGCAAAATAATAAAGGGTATTTGCAAAATCGATGGCAAACAACGTTACTCATGTAATTCTCGATTTTGCAAGTAAATATGAAGAAAAGTATTTGAATTTTTCAATTTTTTCATTATGTCCATAGTAATATTTAAATATATCAGCAGTTTGGACTTTGATTTTCATATAATGATCGATTCATTATGATCTTTACTATTTTTCAAAATCATCGACCCAAATATACAAATATTTGGTAAACTATTTTCGCATCAATTTCTCATAACATATTTTGAACCACCGCTCACTGTTAATAATTTCTGCAAAAAATAATTCTAATGTCGAAATCGTGTAATATAAGTACCAGCAAAATTTAAGTAGATGAAAATCAAAATTGCTTCCTAAAAAATGTATATCTACAAGAGGATCAGTACCACATACCATTTATCTGTACCAAATCTCGTTTTGATACACCTAATAGTCTAGAAGTTATGACTTGTCTAATAGATTCGTTGACACCCGGTAGAGGGATTGAAAAGTACAAATGAAGAACAGAGACTCTTTCTAGTGAAAAAAAACAGAATCTGATGTGAGAAACAGTCTTGTTTCTGATGTGGTGGTGAAGTTCTTCGAAAATGATTCAGCGAAAAATGAGAAAAAATCTGTTGAGATTTGTATGGAGAAGACCAATTTGAGTATTTAGGAATATTTGCTACACACTCTAGCAGCTCCTTACGAACAGTAGTACAAATGGGAATATCACGTGACACTGTGAGAAAAGGATTGAAAGAAATCTGTACTACCAAATATAACGATTGATGCTCTTCTGTTTACTGAACGCATATAAATTACCATTGAAGTTGGTAATGTGAATTTTCTTAGGTTATTATTCTCTTCCAACAATTTTTACTATGATTGAAATGAAATGAGATTGGGGAGAATAAGGAGATAATTGAGACTATAATCTGGATCATTTCCTGATGATAATAACTTGTAACGCAAAGCGCAAGATACCACATTTTACATAATAAAACAATTTTTTTCAAATTGAACTCAAGGTGACTACTTCGTACCCTTGAATACCTACTGGTGAGGGGAGATATTCAATTTCAAATAATCCATCAAAAGAACAGTTACAATTTCGAAAATGCTTTCATTTACAGAAAGTAGAAACGAAAGCGGCAAAAGATTTACAAAAATATGTAGTAATATAATTAGGAACTGAGAGGAAACAAATTTCCATGAGCTTTCCTTGTTTTGAAGAGAGTGAGCTGATGAAGTCGTGATCTTCATTGCCATCGAATAGCGGCACTAGATTATGATCGGCGTCATCTTTTTTATCATTTCTGAAATCATATTCTTGACCAGCACAGAATTCCCAGAAGGGAAAAAATTGAGGCCCACCTTTTTACAGTGGAACGGTCCCATACAATCAGTTGTTAATTCGCACGAGTGAGTTTGTAGAGCAGCCTGAACTCATTCTGATGGCTCTACTCTTCGAGCTCTTCTAAACTACACCCATTTGCTTTGAAACTCCTAACCCATTCCATGTCCTCAGAAAGTTGAGATACGTTGCATTAGTGGTCGAAGGTAGTTCAGCTAGTAGTTGAACTTCGTGATACTGATCTCAAATTTGCTGTGGCAAAGAAAGCTCACGAACTGATGTCTAATGTCTCCATACAGGGATTTCAAGATATTTTCCCCTGAGCAAGGTTCCCGATATTCCTTGCCTACTTCCGCAATGATGTATCGTTTTCAAAAAGTTGGCAGGTCAAACAATGTAGTAGCGCAGTTTGATATTGGGGGTGGGAAAAGGCGGAATAAATTAGTATACACAGTATAAAATCGAAGTCAAACCAAAACTGCAGAGTAATCGATGATATTTTCAGACCTCATCGTCACGATATCAAAAAAAAATACTCACAATCATCCTAGAAAAAAAAAAATTCAAAACTACCGGACTTATCAAATTTGAGTCTATGTATTGTGATCTCAAAAACGGTTTAATAACTGCCATTGCGATGATTACCGTAAAATATTATTTCATTCATAGAGATCGAGGTCGATCACCTGTTTCTTCGGTGTCGATATTTTCCCAGTCGAAAAAGCGCTGAACTACTTTATGACTGTCGAACCTTCGAGCGTCATTGTGGTCATGTTCAAATTGGGCTAGACTAAACAAATGTATATATTACATCCTGCCGAAGATCATACGCTTGGGAAAGTTACAAAACGCTGAGATGAGGTTTTTGTGGCTGATGCGAGGGCGTCATGATCAACTCGAGTTGATCATTTTTCAGTACTACTGAATGATATAAAAAAATTGACAATAGTTTTTTTCGGTTACAAAAATATACCGGAAAATCCTAGAGTTTCGAAATTATATTATATTCAATATCTTCATTGGTATATATAATAGAAATCTATTTCTATTTTGTACGTTTGTGTCTGGAAGTTACTTTTTTGTATAATCTACACATCTTCGTAAACGACGGCGAAACCTTTCTTTCCTAAAAATTATTCTCTTTCAGAAATATACCCCTTTCAATTTATATCAATAGAATTTTTATGAAAAATGTTGCCTAACTTTGATCACCTTCTACTTTGAAATTTCAAAATGAGGCCCTAAACTTTGTAGCAAATATTTGTTTGGCAATTTTCACACCATACTGAACGTGGAACAAATATTCAGTCACTCATTGAGGTTTATTGGACATGGACTAGAAACATTTTCGTGGGTAATTATTGTTCTAGTAGCACGAAGAACGAACTATAGTAACATTATATCTCAACGCGTGTTTTGCTAATTGAGGTAACATGACTAGTTTCAGACATTTTCAGATGATACCAACTTGGTTATCGAAACGCACCCCAAAAGAAAGTAATTTGATTCTGGTATATGAAAAAATTGTTTTCACTGGATTGTTTACTGTATCATTTGCAAAATTTGAAAGAAGTTTCATTTGAAATTTTTAAATTTCTGAACCAACATCAACCCATTTTCTGATTTATTTGATTTTTATTTTTTTACTCAAAAGACTTCAGGTCACCTAAATTATAAATTAAATTCCTACCTGGTGTTATTTTCCTCGTGTTGTTTTTCAATGATGAAACTGGCACTAAAGTTATATTGAAAGACAATGGTGCTAATTTGCGATATTGGCTAGTTGCTATGGGTTTATTTGAATGCAAATCAAGTGGTGATCGTTCAGACCTTGTTTGGAATGGCCAAGTGGGGTACATTCTATCACCTTGATTGTGGCGGTGCCCGTGATTATATCCGTGGTTGTGGCTTTTACAGTCCTGGTTGCTCCTTCTCAAACGCCCATTCTTTATATTTGCGATACCATGTTGTGGTATGGTAGAACAAATCTGAAATAAATTATTTATGAATTCAAAGCTTTTCAAAAAAAAAATAGATAACTATGATACCCTTTGAAACGCGCGTCCAGAAGATGCAGTTTTGAAACTCAATTGATGAATTGGTTTACACTGAGTACAAAAATATTGTATGCAAAAAATTGGTTGACGAATAACGGACAAATTGATCAAAATTAAGAAAATGACAAATTTTATGTAAATTCTGGAAAATAAATTGAAAAGTTTCAGAATCAACTGATTTCCATCAACAGCGAGAAAACGCATTATTCTACAGAAAAATTCTTGTTGAGCATCATCTTTTTAATTACGAGGTTATTGAGTGGATTGAAACAATTTCTCAGCATTTTGAAGTTTTCCCGAATAAAATTCACCTCTTGAATATCTCTAGAAATGTAACTAGTCACATCATACAATCCGACGAAGAAAGTTCAGTAACAGTAGTTGTTGGAAATGTTGTGTATGTGCGTCCAATATTTTACTATCAGAAATGACAATATTTTCAATTATTTATGAATTTTGATTGTATTTTGTGGCGTACGGATATAACTCATCAATACATCAAAAATACATCAACCTTTTTTGTGCTATTGGAAAGATATTAATCATATTAAATGGATATCACTCATCAATACGTCGAAAATACATCAACCTTTTTTGCGCTATTGAATAGGCATCTAATCGTTAGTTTTCATTCAGTACAGGTGTGGATTTCCAAACTTGGAATTTTCTCGTATATGTGAAAGGTCGTGGGATTTTTATTCTTTCACTATTACTAACAATGAATCATGAAGAACATACTAAATCCACTGAGTATTGGTACTCTCCCTAAAAAACGTTCTCATGTTCATTCCCGTTCTTTACCTACTCATTTAATATGAGAAATATGTGTAAACGCAAGGCCTATTATTTCTTACTCCTAGGGATGGAGAGAGGTGGTTGAAACACTGACAAAAGGTAAAGGTATGCACAATGCAAAAAAGGTAATTAAAAAAATAAAAACAAACCGACTGAACAGTTTTCGATATATCAATGTCCAATTGAATTTGTTTATTTATCAGATTGTGAAAGGGTATATACCCAGAAAATAATAAGAATACTGTCGAGTATACGCCTTTGAGCTATGAAACATCAGAGCCTGCGAAGTATGTTAAGAAAATAACGTTTTATAAAAAAATATTTATTCATTCGTCTAAATCAATGTTGCTGCCTTGAAAATAGTTCCCACTAGATGTTATGAACTTGTTTTAACGTTTTTTTAAATCCTCGAAATACGTCTCAGAGTCGAATGCAACAAACCAGTGAGGGTAATATTTATCATCACAATTTTGTCACTTGCTTTGTATTTGTCTTGTAGTAAACATAAAAATTGTTGTGAAAATTGAAGTTCATTGGTTATATTTTAGAATATGTCATACTTGAGAAAATTGATTTGTAACATTTTGTACATTTTCGTTATTCTTGTCAGCAGTTTCAATTCTCTTGAGTAGTCATTTTTCCATCGTTGATCAAAAGCAGAATTCAGATGTAAATAACAATTTTTTTCTCAATTCCCAAAACCCAGTTAGAATAAATATATATCTCGAAGGAAAACAAAATTAAGTACAGGTACATGAATCACGCGACACATAATTAGTTGTCTGTAAGCATAACAAAAACATAAACTTGAAAACTCAAAACACCATAATTACATCATGCTTTGATTCAAATGAAAAATTCAAACCTTTTGCTTCAAACATACTGAACGTATCACCAGTATCTCAGATATATTTATGGGTATTGGGCGTATTGGGGTATTATATAGCGACTGACTACTTCTGTTCATTCTTAGAACTGATTGATAAAATTCCGCAAATTTTCGACAATGATTCATCACTGACATTTGAAGGGTAACCTCCGTGTGAAAATAATTGAGTAGTTGAACAAAGCCACAAACATGAAAGAAGCACCCCATGTACTCAACAGAAATCAAAGAATTCTGGTGATTGCGTCAAGAAAAAAACATATGCTTAAACAATAAGTATTTTGTTGACATATGATTCTCTCCTCGTCAATTTAGTTTGAGTAACGTGATTGATCACAAAGTCATAAGTTATTTGGTAGATGCAGTTGAATGATATTGAAACTCTCCTGAATGGACACTCTGTAGTTTATACAATTATCAGGAAAATCACATGAATTGATGTCAACGAGAATTAATTTTAATAGTCGTATCGCGTGTAATGGCGTAGCCGTAAAAAAACAATTATAATAATTTTGATCTGAACGGTCCGGCTATTAAATAACGAGACTGCGCGCCTAAGGGGCGTCCTAGAGGGGGGGGGGAGGAAAAAACAAGTAGTGCGTTGGGTATCTGGAAATCTTCTCTGTTCACGTACCAAAACACGTTTTTATCACTATTATAGTATTTGTGCAGTGGCGGTTTGAAACAAACGTGTTCTTTTTTCTCGTGCCGAAAACCATGTGTGACGAAAAACAGGAGCAAGTTATCACTCTTGAAATTCTCGTTAAATTGAAAAAAACTCCGACTGAGTGCAAAAGACTATGGGGATAATTATCTATCTCGTGCGCGTGTTTTTGAGCGGTGTCAGTGCTGCCGTGAGGGCGGAGAGAACACTGAAGATGACCAGCGCCCAGGTCGCCCTGTTATTGTTTCAACTCCGGAAACAGTGACCAAAATCAACCAAATTGTTCGTGCAGAATGAGTATCTGAATGATTGCCGATGCTGTAAACGCCAATAAAAAACCGGTTAGAAAAATTTTACACTAGGAATTACACATGACAAAAGTCAGTGCAAAGTTGGTGCCAAAAAACCTGACTCCTGACCAGAAGTTCTTGCATCAACAGGTCTGCTCAGATTTTGTTGAAAGGTTAGAAGAAGATCCCGGACTGATGAAAAACATTATTAGTTGCGACGAAACGTGGATTTTTCAATACGATGTTGAAACAAAGCGGCAATCGATGCATTGAAAGACGCCTGAATCGCCCAGAATAAAAAAGCAAGGATGTTCAAATCAAAATTTAAGGCAACGTTGATCGTTTTTTTCGACATTAACGGTTTCGTGATGACTGAATGGGTTCCAGAGGGTTAGACTGTCAACCAGACTTACTATTTGTCAGTTTTAGCAACACTGCGAGAACGAGTTCGTAGGAAACAGCCGAGTTGTGGAAGAACCACAGATTTTGCACCAGGACAACGTACCTGCCCATAACGCGCTATCTGTGAAACGGTATTTGGCCGATAAACGGACTCGAACAAGCGCTGTAATCGCCAAATCAATGGAAAAAACGTATGGAAATGTATGTGGCGAGGAAACGGGAATATATTGAAGGAAAGCATTCGAATGTAGAATAATGTTTATAATAAAATCCTTTTTTGTAACCAGTTTCGTTATTTAATAGCAGGTCCTTCGAATATATTCTCGATGCCTAGCTCAATATAATGCATTACAAAAACTTCAATGAAATAAATAGTTTTTAACTATGCATAAGTGAAATATAACATGGAACTGAAATATTACACATGTGATGTATACCTATGATAAAAGAGTTTCAAAATTGGATACAGAATGACTATGTCAAATTCGTTCTGAATCTTAGTGATCATCAAGAAGGTTGTTTCTCCTCTTTGCAGCATACAGAAATTGAGGTTGATCTAAAAGGCGCCAATTTCACAATGAAAACAACTCAAAAAATGTTGGGAATTTGAGTAGTGGTGAAGGTTATCAAATGAGTATGTTTTTACCTTGTTTTATAGTGGTATTTTATAGTTGAATTGTGAATTGCGAAGGAACACAACGATACAAATGGTAAAATGATACAAAATAAAACATAAATTCAAGTCATATTGCTCTACAATAACTGGTATGAATTTACACCATGTAAATACAAAACTCGATTCTTTACTTACATCAGTCTTCAACTCTTCACGTATCTACGTGAGAAGTGTGTATAAATGTTATTTTTGTATAATAGTTTTTCACTGTTATTTACGTGACATGCGTTTCAATCAGAATCAAGTACCGTTGAAGAAATCATATACGTTCGTATCTCAAACAAGTATGATGGTAATGATGTGACGATAGTCGCGTCAATGAACATGTAAAACAGGTCATCTTCGGAAGTCTGAGAAAGACCTGCACTATCGACAAGTTTATTTCGAATATTTATTTTTTATGTTATTTGAAATCAGAAACATTTTGAATCAGGTACACTTTGTTATATTGTTTGGTCGGTCGGTAGCTGGTCGGTTCGACGTAGTTGCTTTGTTCATTCGCTCAGTTTACCCCCGTGTTAGTCAGTGGTTCAAGCCCTAGGTTGAACGGTCTTTTTCTACTTACTATCGTCCAACCCGTGTTAGGAATCACACTTTAAAAGGTAAGACCTCGTTAGTCTTTACCACCCACAAATTTCCATTTCTGAGGGTTATCGTTCCATAATATGAAGGTGTTTTCTTAGTTGACATTGGCCAGTCAGAAATCCTACTGTTAAGCGTAGGTCCAGATATTTCTTCGGCGCCAGCTTCTCAGGGTCGCCCAAGGTGATCCTGGCAAGACTGCATCCTTCAATTCCATCCCATCTCTTTAGGGATTGAGCGTAGGTTTGGCGTTTGGCTAGTTCCGCGATTGACGAAGTCATCAGGCCGTAAGTGTCACTGGGTCCTAAAATTCTTAGTCCAGCCGCCAGCCGTTTCCTTGTCTAGATAGTCGGCAATGCGATTACTCTTACTCCTGTCGTGCTCTTTAACTCACCTCAGGATAATGTTATTATCTACCGAGGCTTTGGCTGAATCTTGGTGGCACTCTAGTACTAGCCCAGAAGTAACCCGTTGTCTGTTCAAAGCTATTAGTGCAGATTGTTATGTTTTTGCCCAAAATCACTTTTCTGGTTTCATGAGGGGTAATTGAAACGTTGGTTGCGAGAAGACGACATATCTTCGTACCTACCTGAGGAACTCAATTACCTATAGGATGTCTTTAAAGGTAATAGGTAT